TAAAACTACATATATATATATATATATATGCGTGTGCAAACATTTTCAAGTTATAACTGTCTTAGTTAAAAGAGAGTCCTGGCACCATTCTAGCTGATTTTTACGTAAAGTGACCATCTGCATCTGAAAAAAAAACCCCATTTACACCTTATTCATACTTTTCTATGGGAACACACCCCATACTTTTGCGGCCATGTATTTGATTTCAAGAATTTTGATTTATTAACAGTTGTAGCTATGAGGAAGATTTTGGAGGGACATCCCCCAATTCATTTGTGAAATAAATTATTGCAAATGATAATTTCTCCAGGGTTTCATTTTTATTCGCAATGCTTTAACTTATCATCTATATATTGTAAGTTTTAACACCCTTTTCCACCCACAAACACCCTCTTATAACAAAAATATTTTGCTATGATTTTGATTAGAAGCGGGTGAGATGGATAGCTCACAAGGAAGCCAGGGGAGAAATTTAATAAGAAGAGAGATTTTGGGGTATTTTCTTTCTTAAATTGTAAAAAAAAATTCTTAGACTTTTCTAGTTTCTTTTTCGCATTTTTTATATATTTAAGATCTTAGTCTCCCTTGTTCTTTTTTACTCAAAAACAGGAGCGGATTAAGCGAACACGGGGCTCTAGGCCTTTCAAATTTTTCAATTCAGATTAAAAAAATTTTTCTCGTGTATCTTTTATTTATTCAAATATAAAAGAAGTATATATATTTTTTCATTTAAGAAAGTAAATTTAAAATAAAAATAAATAATAATAAATTAAATTTTACTTTATTTTGTTAAATTAGAACTAAAAAAATTATCGTATTTTATTAATATATATTTAAAATTGATTTTTTTTAAAAAATCATTGTTTTTCTTAATTTTTTTAAATTTATTTTCAAAAATATTTTTTAAGGGGGCCCCTAATCATTAGGGGCCCCAGGCCATGGCCTAGTCTGACCTAATGGGTAATCCGGCCCTGCTCAAAAATATCCACAAACAACAATATTTAGTAACAATTTTGGCGAAAAGCGGGTTTGGGGAAGAGATCACGAAGCTCTCGTACGTACTTCCATACTTTCTCGCGAGAGCATCGGAAACTAGATTCTCTCACTCGCTTTTAGTTGGAATTGTTACTAAATATTTTTGTTATTCGAGGGTGTTTGATAGAGGAAAGGGGGCTAGAAGTTTAAATAAATGAAAACAAGTAGAAAAGTTGCTCAAAAAAACCTAGAAAAATCAATTAATATTAATGTTTTTTTTTTTTTTTTTTTTTTTTTTTTTTTTTTTTTTTTTTTTTTNCAAAATTTCACAACTTGCTATAATTGTGTAGACATTAGAATTTTCTCTCTAGCCACTTAGAACAAATTCAACAGTTAAAGTTATCATTTCCTCCCTTCGAAGAGATCCTGAAGATTCCGCGATTTTGTTTGGTACTATATAAAACAATAATACCACAGATATATATTCGGAATTTACCTGGACGTTATCTTTAAAGAGATCTGAACTAAAAATGAATCTCTAACGTGAATTATCTAACGTGAAAAAGCAAATTTGAGGTTAACCTTTTAGGCTTGATAAATGGTAATAATTTCTGCTAAGTTCATGTTTTGAGCACGCTTGATCTTTCTTCCTCTAAGAAGGCATTCTGCAGTATATTTTAATCTGTTGTTTGTACGTATTATATAAATTGAACATCTCAAAATTTTCAATATTGCGTTTTTTCAGCTTCATTCCATATTTTTATAAATATATTTCGACTTGTACGTTCTACGTTTCTAGAAAAACAGCGCCAAAATGTATCAAATGTATTAAATGAATTCTAGCTTAAGGTCATTGATAACTAATGCAATCTAAAACTTTCATACATCTGACGGTAAAGTTTTTAGATAATAATTTAGAATAAAAATAATTAATTCTATTCTTCCTTATAGGCTTGTCATCAAACATGGATTAGTGCTGACATAAATAAAGCATTAGTAAGTATAACTTTTCATAAAAATCATCTAAGTCAAATTAACTCTAACGTTATTCATAAAAACTAAGAATTTTCTGAATGTAATGCTGGAAAATTCTTAAGAATTTTTAATTAACTCATTGAATTCCTGATGAGAAACAAGCCTTTAATGAAATCAGTTTTAGGTTAAATTACGTGTATAAGATTGATCTTTTTAATTAAAAATGTTTTTCGATTTTAATTTAAAATTGTAGGCAGAGAGTAAAACTAATTATGATACTAATTTTACTAAGTGAAAGTTTAAAGCTCAAACACGATAAATAACTATAATTTCAAATTCTACGTTCACTAAGATTTAATATTTTGTAAATTTGTGCTTTAAAAAAATCAAGAATGAGCATTTTTTCATGCTCTTCTTTGTTGGGTTCTCTTAACGAAGCATTAATGACGAATGCATTTATAGCAAAGATAAAAAAAAAAAAAAAAAAAAAAAAAAAAAAAAAAAAAATTTTATATTTTTTTTCTCAAGAACTATTCAACTCATATTNAAAAAAAAAAAAAAAAAAAAAAAAAAAAAAAAAAAAAAAAATAGAAACAACAAATAGTTATATATTCATAAAATTGTTATTTCTATTAGTTTATTCACTAAGTGTTCTAAAATTCGTCCAACAAATTCAGAGCAGTGTTAAAATACACGTTTAGAGGATGAAAATAGCATGCAGGTTTCGATAACACGCTGGATAACAACTAAAAAAGGTACAATAAACTGGCTAACTGCAAAAAGATTTATTTGATTTAGTATTACAAAAGTTGTTCGATGTGGAGCCCGATTACGTCATTGCACAAGTCTACAAAGACGTAACCACGATTCCCAGACGCTTACCAGGTTCGCTTTTGGTGTCTGCTAAAACAGCGACAATTCGGGATCTGAGATTCCCCGGCGTGCCCACAGGCATCTCATAACTAGTGTTTTAAGGTTACCCTATAGGAAAAAGTCATATGGATTGAGATTCGGCGAACGTGGAGGCCATGCAACACTTTTCACGGGTTCAATCAACTTCTTTTGGTACGCCACATTTTGATGGTGTGCATGTAAAGCATAAGGTACAGGGGTGCCATTTAGCTAATTTAGTTAGAACAAGCCTCAAGTAATTTCTACATTTTACTTTCTCTAGATTCAAAACTTTCGAAAAATTCAAAACCTACCTTTTGAAAGTTAATAACGAAATATAAATTACCTAAATTTTTCTTTTTATTTGGAGAAATTTTACTCATTTTGGCTTTTACAAGATCGAAATAAAGTAAATTAATAAAAGAAAAGTTAATAATAAGATTTTGAAACTGATATACATCATTATTCTTAAGGGAGAAAACAAAATCTTTAATTGATTTAATATTATAATGTTTATTAAAATCTTTTTCCATATTAGAATATTCCATAATATTGTTTTTCTTAATTTTCTTCGTGTTTTTTTTCCCTTCTTTTTGTCCGTTTTACATTTATTTATTATGATATATATATATATATATATATATTATAGATATGGGAAATATTATAGTGGGTTTGTTCTATTTGTATTACAGCTCTATGATACAAACAGTGTTTCTCTAAAAAGAAACTAGTTTAAATTAAACTTGTTTGGGTACTTGATTCAAAATTTTTAATTTTTTAAATTTGCAATGAAAACCTCATTAATCAACAGAAAATGAAAAATAGCAGACGGCATTACGCCAGTATCCTCATCCTACCGTTTAATCAATGAGCAGGACAGCTGATGAATTTCGAAAATACATTGTCCAGCATTTGTCTTCACCCCCGATTCATTTCTTTTAATTTTGATATGTATTTTTTAAAGCAACTGAAAATTTCGTTATTATTGAAAAAATATGATCAGAAGAAAGAATACCGATATTGTCTTTAAAAATTTTTTTAAACGAAACATTTATTATATAGCAATAAGAAAAAGCACTTATTGTATTTCTTCTTCTAATAGTTAAATAAAGATTTATAGTTCTTGCTAAGTATATAAATATGTAGTATATTTATAAATATATTAAAAGAAGTTTTAAAAAAAAATTATGTTTAAAGTTATATGTAAAAATTATGTTAGATTAAAAGAAAATATTAAAAGAAGAAGAAAATATGAAAGAAATTAAAATATTGAAATCAAAACGTAA